CAGTTATACTGTTACTTTGACTTCTGCTAACCTCACCATATGGCTTTCTTGTGCCTCGCTATTCCAAATTTGTTTAGCTGAGGCAATTCATAAATTTTACTAATAACTTCCTAATCCAGTTTTCTACATACTTACATGACATTCCCTGCTTCTTTCTATCACTGTATTCAGCACATCTGCTAGTGTAAGGATATGTGCTGTTACTTGTCTATATCCCCTTCTGAGTTTTAAGCCTTGAGGATAAGAACTATTTCTCAGGTTGACTACAACACTGTGCAATACCTGACACGTGGTAGTTACTTATAAATGTCTAAAGCATGAAGACTTTTATAAATTGTGGTAAAACACATCCCAAAATGTGTTATGAATATACCAAATTTAGTTTCAATTGACATAAGTTGAAACATTTCACTAACTTTTTAAGTTGAACTTGCCTTAAGTGTCAACCTGCCTTCTATCTCTCTACATCTCTTTCCTGTCCCTCTCTCCCTCTTCTTTGCCAGTCTTCTCAGTGGTTGAGTGTATGTGCATGTATGTGTATGTGTAAATGCATATGTAGAAATTCTGTGGACAGACCCACCGTAACAATATACTAAATGTTTTCTCATGCACTATATATGTATTTATATACAAATACCTACAAAACCACACAATAGATACATAATACACGTTAACGGATAAATATGATATTGGCTTATCCAAGAAATGAAGTTAGTGAGGGCAACTCATAGCTCCTCAAACATGAATGCTAAGGCTGTTTTAGTAGAAATGTTCAGTAGACATCATTGTGAATGAAAATCAAAAGGGTAATATTCACTCTTAGTAAAAGTGACTGCAGAAATAGACTAAAATATCACATAATATAGAATGGGAAAACATTGATTTTTATTAAAGAATTACCATGTTTTCTGAAGTTTAAAGCAAACTCAACAGTGTAAGAAAATTATTGTATTAAGTAATGTTCCATCAGACAAGTGTTAAAACAACACTCTTAGATGGAATTAGAGCAATAGCATGCAGGACCCATATGTTTAATGGAGTAACTAACTACGAGTGTTATAAATAGTTATGGTATATTTAAATAAAAGTTAACTATTCATGACTTGTTGGAAGTACTGTGTTCTGAGTATGTGTTAAATCACTTCATTTTCAGAACAATCATGTGAGGCAATGCCCTATACTATTTGTAGACATGTATATAAAATATATTACATAACATCAAATATATTAACTAACCATACGTTTGTGGGTAATATGTGTATTGAGCTAAGAATAATTTTAATTTTCTCAAATTGGAACTCATGAAAAATTGCTGCTATCACTGTCCAGTTGTACAACATTAAACATGTCTCTCAGAGTTGTGGTTTCACAACTCTGCCTAGCCTAATTTAGTATTCTTTTAACTTTTAGCCATAGATTTCTTTCAAACTAGGATTTGTGAGTACAAAAAAGGAAAGGAAAAAATGTTTAAGTTATATAATGCACATAAAAGTGTTTTAGTAAGTACGCAATGTTACACTGATGTTAATTACTTACATTAACATTATAGCTCCCTTATGATCAATCATATAAAAATGTAAAAATAATTAAGCAATCCCTGTTCATCCTTCTACAGTTGATTCTTTCATATGAGTATATGATAAAATAGCACACATACATCAATTCTTATTCATGAGACAGTTTGAACTATTAAATAAAAATGTCTAGCAAGTGTTCCTGTCCTTTAACCACAGTGAAAGAATTTTTTGAAACTCAAAATTAGAATCAAAAATATTAATCAGTGAAAATCCATATTGTTCTTAATGAGTTTTGAATGCTTACATTTATGGGAAAATATTCTAATACAAATTATAAAAATGTGCTGCTGTTTTCTTATTTCATTTAAATCAGCCTTTCAATATTACAGGGAAAAAAAATCTAGAAATTTAGAATTTTATTAAATGCCAAAACTACAAGTGAATAACTGGGTTACTTCCCAGTCTTAAACAATTTATAAAATTTTGCTCTTAACTCTTAATTTCTCACATACCACTTGACAAACAGTACTGTGTCTATAACTAAAACTAATGACTGTGGGTAATGAACCAATGTTGAAAATATTAAACTGAGTGCTGGGGCTCACACCTGTAATCCTAGCTACTTGCTACTTGGGAGTCTGAGCTCAGAAGGATTACAGTTCAAGGTCAACCTAGGCAAACAGTTTGCAAGACCCGTCTCCAAAAGAACCAGAGCAAGTGTGAACCCTTGAGTTCAAAACTCAGTCCCACAAAAAACAAAACAACTATCCCCCAAAACAATATTACAAGTTATAACTACACACCCACACCCACGTACACACACACACGTCCTTTTAAGAAAACTGTCAGAACCTTGTGATATGCTAGATTCCAATGCTAGTTGTTGGAGAAATAAAAAATGAATAAGATGCAGATAACTCCTATTTTTACTGAATATTAATATTAAATTTATAAAAGAAGTCATATATTTAAGATTTATTTAAAACCCAGGCAAGGTAAATGAAGAGTGATATAAAAGTTTGTAATATCAATCACTAGCCCCTGTGAGGCACTAGGAAAAGCCCTGATAAGGAAATAAGCTTTGAAGGTAAAGGTTTTGGTCAGGTATGGGAGGCTATGCACCAACAGTTACAGGGTTCAGATTCGAAGCAGGTTGGTACAAGACTTTCTTGGCTAGAGCAGAGAGAACAGGGGAAGACCCACCAGCGACTTTTTATGTGAGTCTGACAGGTGCAGGACACAATAGTTACTGAAGGCTTTTAGGCAGAGGAGTGACAGCTCACAGGAAAATATTAAATCTTATGAACAACATTAACAATCAGAAATTGTAGCACTGTTAAAGTATGATTTCAATCTGTGAAGAAATGCTAGATTTAGATAAGATATTGAGATAGAAGGAATTTTTTAAAGGGAGCTAAAATTAGATGCTATTTGCTTCTTGGACAAAAGTAAGAATAAAACTATAGAAAATCTCTCAGTCCTATAGCATAACCTCAAAATTATCTTTGATAGGACAAATGTGGTCAATTTACCAACCTTTTTGAAATATGGATGTTAGAAGTAATTATATTTATTTTCTTACTACTAGAAATTCTTTGACAAGAGTTTCCAAAAGTGGTGTATACACTCAGCCTATCCCAGATTAAATGCATACAGTTAAAGTAATAATACAAGAATTTTTAAGCAGAAATGTTATGTAGTTTCTGGTGATTTGTCAATGGCCTAGCTGTCTAACACATGCTTCTACTCTGAGAAAAATGCAAAGAAACAGAAAGTAGTTGACATTATGAACTTTCACTGGATCTTATTGTTTTAAAAAGCTATCACTTTTAAATTAGACATGGCCACTAAGTGTTTGTCCTGTGTAGATTTACTTTATTCTGATGCTTGCCTGGAGGCTCTGGTATGCTCCATAATCCAGGGTTCATGTCTTCAACAAAGAGCAGTTTTAGGAAAAAAGACTGTTAGGTGCTTCCCATTACGGACACTGAAACTATTGGTAGAGGTGAGTTGATGTCATCCACATAGCTTCCAGGCTAAAGCAGTGGACTCTCAGGGCTTTAAGAATTAATGTGATAGAACTAACTACACAAATACTGAAATGTGTTTTATTTTATTTTTGTTATTTTTTTTTAATTTTAGTATGTTAGACTATCTTAGCTTCTAGATATATAAGGAAATCCTTTCTGCAGACTGTAACAATTTAATAAATTAGGTTTTTCATAAATGAAATAAAACATTTGCATCTTCTAGTAACTCTTTCTACATAGTTTTCCTTATCTTACACAGAACTATAGTCATTTGCATAGCTTTATAGACTCCACCTTTTCTTCTGGATAAACTTGAACAAATTTGTTGTGCAACCAAGGCCTTAATGGGTTCGTCATATTGGAGAATGATGCTGACTGTGCTAGGTAGGACCAGAGGTTTTTAAGAAGTAAGGCTGGCTTAGTTACAGGTCCAACGGCTGTAAAGTCTGCCTAGAATGCCTAGTCCAGTGTCTGGCTGACAGGGTGCACAAATAAGGAAGGTCATTTTCTGTCAGGCCAGGAATGTTAACAAGTTTTGGTGGCCCTGGGAGGAAAAGAATACATTCAAAGGTGTAAGTGGTTCAGATGAAATCTGGTGTATGCTTTCTTGGTTTTTGCCTTCCTAACTTACAATATGCAAACAACAAAGATTTTTTTAAAATTCCACAAAAACTTCCAGTTAGAAATGAATAAATCTATACTCATGACACTTTTGTTAAGGGAAAATAAGTAAATGTCCAGTATATATTTTCTAGTCTTTCTTCTATATGTATTTTCTAGTGTTTCTCTATAGCCTAAAAGATGGTGACCTTTTGTAAAACTCAAACATTCAAATGTTTGTTATTGACAAAATAAAAATAGAAAAACTGTATTACCTAAAGTTAGTTTCTATATTTTGTTACTCAACATCTTTCAAATACTAAGAACCTTCTGGTATCCACATTTTATCTACGTTTTAAAATAAATAGGCTCAATATCCCCGAACCGTGGCTTTCACATTTATGAGCCAGATATCCTGGTGCACAATTATCTCAAAGAAGACCAATAATATTTGCTTAATTTGCTATAATACAGCACCTGCCCCATAATGCAATAATAAAACTCACAATGATTAAATTCAGGATAATAACAATTCCAGGTTTTAAAAATAGTTCAGCATACTTGCAGGCAATAATATCCAGTAAAATACCACCAGTTTGTACAGTGTGTTTCTGCATCATGTTTTAAATATAATAATAATCTTACAATTTTATTAAACTTATAATGAAGATTAGTTAATCTTACATTAAAATTATTATTTGTAATAATCTTAACATTAATTTTACAGTTCACACATGACAGTATATTAAAGAAATAGTTATAACTTCAAATATTTTTAATCTGAAAAGCAAAATCCAAATATGATTTATATCATATATAATATTAGATTGGGATATGCATTTCACACACTTACCCATAAAATTGAGATAGCCTTCTCCACCAAGAGCATGAGTAATGAGTCGAATCATCTTGTGAAGCTGTATTCCACGATCAATAACTGGAGTAAAAGGAGCTAGAACACTCATGTTTGTGTACATTTCAGCATCCATCAACCAAAATGCCAGCGTCTTATCACCAACCAGTGCCTATAGAAATAAAACTCACTGAGATAAATGAAGAGCACAGGTGCCCAGCAGCTGTAATTTACACTAGAATAACACAGGGTTACACAGGAGGGGCAACAATGTAGGAGAGGAGTATGGATTAGAAATGATTTTCTATATTTTCCAAGGGTTACTTTCTGTGCTAAAGGTGAGCTGGTAAAAGAGCTCAACATGTTTAAGACTGATTTTTACCTTTAAAAGAACTTAAATAAAAATTCGCAATTAGTACCTAGATATTTGTTACACCTAAGAGGATGTTTAAAATTTACTCAAATTATCTCAAACCAATATTTATTATAATGGTGAGAATGTTATATAATATTTTATAATAGTTTATATAGATCATGATTTCATTTCTTCTGAAAGGAAACATCGTCACTATTTGGGAGATTTTATACATGTACATAAATATATTCCTGTTATCCTTCCTCCCCCATTTAAAAAAAGTAAATTTACATTTTTGTTGTACTAGCGTTTTAACTTGAATTTGGTTCATTTTATCTGAAAGATAATAACTGGTAATTGGGACAGATATCTCAGAAATGCCCTGAGTAATAGAAAAGAGTTCTCTTGAAAATCTGAATTATTCATGGCTGAAAACAGCTAACTAATGAAAAATATTTGTCATTGACAAAGTAATGACATGCAGTGAAATGTACAGTACAAATTAATCTACAATCTCAGTATGCTATTATAATCATTTTCATTTTTGGAAAACACTTTTATTTACAAACCTATTACACCCTAACCTATTTTAATTAAAATGTCTTTCTAAAAGTATTAGTATAAAATCTACAGCAGTAATTTTTAAACAGTTTGTCTTTCCTACTTATTTTAAATTGTTTTTATCTGTAACTATTTACTTTTGGCTAGAGAGTCTCTGATTCTGTTAAAACTATTTTTATAATTTTGCTTAGGCTCACATACGAAGTGTATTCTCATATCAAATTATTCTCTTAAAAATCCCGTTATGATACTGGTAAAAATTCAGCTAATTTTAGAAATTCAATTGTTAATGTTAAGAATTTTTCTAAAAATTTTAAAATAACTTTTGCAAACATTTTTACTATGACATACATATTTTATTTATTATTCATTTTATAAATACGTCTTTTTACAGATTTGTATTTTTTTTACCAGTTTTAAGGGTCAGAGGACATTTTCATTTAGAAAGAACCAGATAATCTGCATCATTTCTGTACTACTAAAATTTTAATACAAGACTGAATTATCTGAGTCATTAAAATATAAAAAAATTATTGGGAATCTTCATTTCTTTACACACTGGGTAGAAAGGTACAAAAGAAATCTTTCAGTTTCATCTTCAACTTGTTTACTCCATTCCTGTATTTATTCTTTCATTTATTCATACAAAATAAACATACGCTGAGAAGTCACAATGTACAATAATTTCCAGAAGTTTACAGCAGAAAGGTATGCTATGCATGTATTTTAATTTCCTCTGTTGTGTATTTCGTGAGAATTTTCCACTCCTTACTACTTTCCCTCCTCTAAACTAATACTATTCTTGTCTAGATTGAGTGCTGATTTCTTCACAGGCATTTATTTGATCTGGTCTTGGATCAATGATACTATCTACTTAAGATGCAAAGACAGCATATTTCAATGCTGTAGATGCAGAATTTAGCACTGGGAGTTACTAACTTTGGGAGTTGGAAACTTGTGTAGAAGGCCAAATAGTAAATATTTTAGGCACCGTGACCACTTCCTTTGTCTCACTACTCAAGCCTGCCATTACAAAGATACTATGTAAATGAGTGAGCATGGCTATGTACCAATTAAGTTCAGTCATAAAAACAGGCAACAAGTAGGATTTGGCTAAAGGGCCTTAGTCCCTATGTCTCGTATGCTCTTAACAATGGTAAGAAAAACATGAGAAACGATGTTTCACAATATTGCCAATTTCTGCTGATATGACTGAGAAACTAACTGCTTTCATCTTAGGTTCCCTAACACAGGGATTTCCAGGGATTTCAAAATTTTTATTGCCTTCTTTTTACCTATAAACAGGAAATTTTTATATTGTTGGTATTTGTAAGAATTAAAATGGCTTTAAATAGCTTAAGTCTAACATACTGTGTTTATTGAGTTATCAGTAGGAGCAGTCATAGTGCTAAAATCTAGAGATGCAAAAGGAATGGAAAAAAATTTTCTGCTTAAATCTGGATGTGGACATGGAACATGAGACAAACATTTTTCCCTCCTTGGGGGATGAATTCAGAGGATGGGATATCTGAGCCAGGAGATTAGGTCTGAGGGGTGGGCTGTGGTTGATCAAGCAGCACACTTCTGAGATTGAGGGAAAAAAATGATGAAGCTAGTTAAGGCATGAAAGAAAAGTTCTAGAAGGAAGTCTAAAGTGGAAACTGGAATTATACTGGATTAGCAACAATACTGTAACTAAAGGAAAATATTTAACACTTGCAACTGAAATGATTAATTAAAGTTTGGAAGGGTAAAACATTGTACTGTATTTTGAATCTGGACTTTCTATATTTACAAAATGATTTTAGAATGTTTTACAAATATGAAGAGTTTTCACAGACTTATTCAAAAAACATTAAGTAAATAAAAAAATCAAAAAGAAATTTCAGAAACAAAAAATTTATATTCTCAAGTATGCATTGTGTAGCTCAGTTGATAAGGAGAAGCGAGTCCTGAACTATTATCAGTGGAGTTTAAATTATTTTGTGTTCTGCTGAGTGTTTCTCTGCCCTTAATTTTCTGAAAATATGCCTATCAAGAAGCAAATGATGCCCCAGAAGCAAGGTAAAATTTAATGTGGTTAATTTAAGTAATAAAGTGAAAATGTTAGTTTTGTTGAAAGGTGGCGTGTCTTTAGTAGAAGTTGGGCATTGGTATGGGAAAAATGAAGCAAATATCTGCAGTTCAGTCTTAATAATTCATCTTGAGCCCTCAGTTTTTCTTCAGTGGTTGTCTCCTTGGAACCAGATACCTCTGAATGCTAAGGGTCTATTGTATACATACAAAATATGTGACAGTAATTGTACTAAACTATGAAAGTTTGTATTTAGATATGTTATTAACTATAAAGAATGATTGAAAGATAAACAGAGAGAAATAAATGAATTTATACACATCCACTGACCTGATCATGGCTCTCTGCATAAGCAATACACTTTTCAAGGTAGCGTCGATTTGTAAGCGTATACACTATATTTCCCATATTCCAATCTTCATCTTTAAATTCTTTAAGTAGCTAGAAAAAGAAAGAAAAATAAACTTCTGAACAAGCTATATTCTTTTTAAATATCAATCTGACGACATACATCCTATCAGTTCAAATGATTTGGGAGGTAGAAATTAGCTTATCCACACAATAACAGTATTTCATTGTTTAAATATTTAGTGAAACAACAGCTTTCATAAAAATATGTAAATGGAAATGGTATAGTATTTGTGTTTGTGTGTATGCTTTGTTTTTGTGTAGACGGTTTAAATTATACTATATGATCTTTCCAGTTTTTTTCTTATAATAACTAAATAACTACTTAACTACTGCTTCATGGTAAGTGTCTACAGTAAAGAGTTGTTGCATAACATGTTTTCCTGTAACTTTCACAAACTAGAGTACACTTACTATATCTTTAGATTTGAATAAAACATTTTAGTGGGGAGGGTTTTTATTCTTAAACAATGATAATTAAAACAATAATTATTTTAAAGTTTAAAGTTGTACATGACACTGTTAACTCTCTTGCATCCATGAATTGCTCTTTCTTAATCTATCACTTTGTAACTCTTATTTTTATTCCTTCCCACCACTGCGGACATCATGAAAACTCTCTTCCTCTGCCTATCCTAGAAAAAGCTGATATTCTTCAAGATAGTGTTCTAAAGATAGCCTCTTTCTTTTATTCAACATACTCTTTCTGGTTAGGTTATTTTTCTGTTCAAAGTGTCAAGTGACTTCTGTGACAGACAGAATTCTCAGATGACCCCATGACTATTGCTCTCTCCTGTTTACATCTTTGTGTGCCAAAGGAATCTTTCAATGTGATGGATGTCCTCTGAAGAAAAGTGAGAACATACCTGAGTAATGCTTTAAGATATTAAAGTTGAGAGGTAATTTGATACACAACAATAGAAAATTAATGTCAATTTTGGTGGCAGAATGCATAGCTGATACATGCAACAACCTGGATTAAACTCCAGAGAGTTTTGTTAAGTGAAAATGTCAATCCAGAAAGGTTACATACTGCCTGATTGCATTTATGGAACATTTTGGAAAAAGGGTGGAGATCAGACTAGTGGATTAAGGTGTAGTTGGGGGTCAGAGGGAAATGGATGTGGATAAAAAGCAGGCTGAGCATATCTTGTGTTGACAGAAATATTCTGTACCTTAACTAGATCAGTGTCAGTATACTAGTTGTGATAGTGTACTATTAGATTTGCAGGACAGAAGTTATTTTCTACAACTGCAAATGAATATACAATGATTTCAAAATAAATAAAATCTGTTTGGATATACCAAATCATATTAAATGCTCAATAACTATTTGGTAGAGTAAATTAATATGAGAATATCCCCATACAAGAGTACTTCAGTATTTAAAATGGATCAAATAAATGAAAGGAAATATATAGAAACTTTTGAATATTTTAGCCAAATATTTTTAAATAAATGACTAATGTAAAATATTCAAAATTACTTGATTATAAAATAATACAAGTTGAAAGTTATACATAGTTTGCTTTGAAACACAAAACCATGAATGAAAAGAGGCATTCTAATCTGTTTTCAGACACTGGATAGATAACAGCACAGGCCACTTATATTTTGACTATGCTTATTATTTGGTTTAATACTCTTGCACGTTTTATTGTTATTTTGGGGAATAATAGTCTTTCACTGAATTATTTTAAAACATTTCTGACATAAAAAAGAGGAAATTCACTGTGTCTAAGGGTTTTAATTTTTTAACTTCCTCTAATTGTATTAACTAAGGCCCCCATTTTGTTGATGCAAAATTTTTTAAATAATTACAAAAAATAGAAGATGACACCTGCTTTCATAGAATGTATAATCTAAGATGAGATGATCATATCTTAAACATAGGATATGTTTTTCCGTCTGTATGATGCACTCCTACTACAGAACCTTAAGCATATAAGGTACTAAAATGTTTATCAGGTTAACTTTAAGGATTTTGGAGAAAACATCAATATTCCAAGAGCAATACAGCCCACTGTGAGCTATGATTGGAAAATAATTCTAGGTTGGTGTACACTTTGAAATATTCTTGAATCTGCGCAAAGAATCCTAAAGGCTTTTCAGCAAGAAATTAAAAGTAATATTTGGCACTTGTGAGGAAAAGAGGATTTCATGAAGGACTAAAAAAAGTAAGAGGAGGAGGCTGATAAAGAACTTTATACCAACATAGAAATTTGTTTTCAAATATATATATATATATATATTTCAAAAACATAAGGCTACCTTTTGATATATTAAGCCAGAACAGTTATTTGCCTATTTGTTTGATTTCTTAGGCCTAAAAGTTCATAAAATAAGTTGGCTTTACACCTGGTAATGTTTAAGGAATGATTGTAATGGAGGAGCACAAGTTGTTTAGATAGAGGATTAATAGCACACTTGTGCATTGCATCATGTGTTTGGGGATATAGGAAAGACAGTAAGAGATGATTACAATAATGACATCCTTAGAGGAGGGTCTACTTCAGAGAAGGGTCTTCAGAGGAGGGTTTTTCTAGCATGTGGTCTCATAGAACTAGCTCATGTGTACCAAAGGGTTCATCAGAGATCTTTGATTATTTATATACATGTTTGGCTCCTTGAACATATTTAACCCTTGATTACACAAGTGGATACTCCAAAATGTCCTACATCAAAACTAAGTTTATATAATTCCCTTAGGTCTTTTAAGCAAATATCAAATTAAAGAAATAAATACACACACACTCATACACATAATCCAAACTACTTGAACAATCACTAAATTTAATTAATCTATATTGAAAAATAATGTGTAAAGTACCATATACTATTATTTCTTCCTAGTGCCTGACACATAGTAAGTACTTTTAAATGCTGAATGAAAGTATGGGTGACTCCAAATTTGTTGAGGAAAATACCATACTATGAAGCAAGTACAATGAACTAAGAGTAACTTCTACATTCATGGATGATGTCCAGGCAGAATAAATGCTTTAGTAAAACTCAATAAAGTTTAAGAACAGAACATGTAAGTTTCATTGATTTGTTTGATAATGCAAGATTCCATTTATCAGTTAATGTTATATGAGTCATATTTTCCTTTCCTAAATAATACAAATATGAATACTTTATAATGTCTCTTTTAAATTTTGAGAATCACCTGATTAAAAAAAGAATAAGAAATGACACAATAGAAAAATTTAACACTTTAGTTGCATTATCTGTAAAATTAACGATCAAGACTAAGAACTAAACTGAAGAACAAATAAACCTACAATAGTAGGTTTCCCACAGGAAAAAATATTTACTTGAAATCCTACCTGGATCCACTTATCTGGTATTGCCATGGCTAAGCGATAGTCAAAGCCACCCCCACCTTGGGAAATTGGAGAACACAGAGCTGGCATTCCTGATACATCCTAAAACAAAGTACATCAGCATTAACAGTTCATATTGCTCCAACTTTTAGTAAATATTTTCTAAAGCAAGGATTTGCTGCTGTTTTTGCTCACTGATATAAACCAACAATCTAGAATAACAGAACACAAAGCCAGAACTCAAAAATATATTTACTGAGTGAATAAGCAAACATGCTATAGGAATTTAAATAAGACATCATACTTGAATTTGAGGATTCATCAGCTAGAACCCACCTATACATACACAAATTTGTTTATCATGACATAACAATGCACTGTACTTAGGATAACTGACCAAAGTGCCCAGGAAGTAAAATGGAGAGACTATATAGCGACTCAACATTATTTTCTAGTTCATTTCAAATGCTGTATACTTTCACTACTTTGAAATACTGACTATTCCCTGTGCTTGGCACAAGCTTTTCAACATGTACCAATGCCCAAACTCTTCCTTGGATTATAATTCTTACTTCTTGTAAAAGATAATCAGAGTCTATGAACTCTTTGAGGCAGCTCAAATACTGCTTTTTTATAATGTCAGAAAGGCTGTGAAAAAAGAAGTATATGACGCCTATGAACTCACAAACAATTTAACATTTTCTTACAGAATAGAGATATTAGTAAATATACTACATGTTAGGATATAGGCATAAGAAAAAGCTGACTAATAATATTTTACATCTGCATAGTTTTTTACAGTTTATTATGGAAAAAGGATGGTCAACAGAGAAGGAGATACTTAAAAACTTAAGTCACAGTTTCATAGGTATTATCAGTAAAATTCATTATATGTATTGGCCAAAAACATATATTAAAGTATGACATATTTGATACATTGTAAGAAACTTTGTAAATACCACAATGCACCCCCACAAAACAAAACAAAAATAAAAAGAAATCATCAGGCATAATATTAGGTACTGGTATAACAGACAAAATACCTTTCCAGAGTTTTGGTGAGACCATTCTATCAGGAAAGACTGCTAACAGACTGATACTAAAGATCAAGAAAGTGTTAAGATGTGCTCTTCATTTTCATTTTTATTAACATAGTCATTGTGCAGAGGGTATTTATCTTGCCAATTCCCAATAGCCTTACATTGTACATTGGTTAGACTGCCCCAGCATCTGTCCCCACACATCCCCCTCCTACCCTACTTAAAGCAATTGCAAGAGGTCATTGTTGTACTTCATGTATGTATATGAAGCCCATCAACCACACCATTTACCATTATCTCCTTCATTTACCTCCCTCCTCCCACAAGTACCTATTTTATAGTCCTGCCTCATTTTGATCAAAGTTATGTTCCACATTGGTATGTCCTCTCCATACTGGTATGTCTAAATGTTGTTTCGGGAAATGGAAATGGAATCTAAAACCTAGACTCATTCATATGAGTTGTTTGCAGCAATCTTTTGAAAGTGGAAAGTTGGTGACTTCTCTGAAACTTTCAAAGAAAAGAAAAGGTTAAATATAAAAGTAACCAACATAAACATACTCAATGTTTTAAAGACTTCATGTCTAATGTTACAGCATATAGAAATGATTATGCGTCCTGAATGAAATTAAAATATTTCAAATTCTTTAATACCTAAAAGGCACTTAGGAAAATTCCAAGAGGGAGAATTCAATTAAGGTGTTTTATTAAAAGATAACTGTGTAGAATGGTGGATGAATTCTAGAAAAAAAAGGAATTTTTGTAATTGTCATTATACATAAAGTCATATATCTACTATAGAATTTTATATAAAATTACATTACTTATTCATTATAATATATTTTTGTCTTAAAAAACGTTCATGAGGATCAATTCTACATTTTGAAGGGACTCCCACTACACAAAAAAGTGATGTATTGAAATTGAAGTAGTTTTCAATTTAAGTAGAATAAATTGAAGGCACATCTTGTTTTAAAAAAATCTAAAACTAAGTAATATAAAGCAGGCTGAAGATTCAAAGTTTCATTGGTAGAAAACATTGATAATCAGACAAGAGCTCCCTAGATGATTAAACTATTTTATTTGAAATGAATGGAAAGATCAATGTAACAATTTTAACTTTCAAGTATTAAATAATTGCCTCTTTTTCTTCAGTACCCACTTTTGATTTGGACTATAATTAATTATTTGTAGTAATCTGTCATATATAATATCTCTGCTTTGGATTGCCAAAAATGTAATTGACAAAAATTAATTTTTTGATGTGTGACAGACAAAATTAAAACACTATATAAATGAAGAAATAAAAGTTAAAATACACTCTGATAGGTGTTAAACGACATTTAGTGCATAAAGAATTTGCCTGGCCTGATGTAGATAGGTAGAGAGTGTGAATTAATACCGAGTGTCCAAATTACATGCAGTTTTGGAATTGTTTTTTAATTCTGCATAAGAACTTATTTCAGGAATTTAAGGTCAGTCTCTTTAGTCCCATAAATATTTAGAAAGCAAAAGGCCTTAAGGAAATAAGACTGTTCTCTATCTAGAGACAAACATGAAATCCTTCTAATAGCTAGAGAGTTTTGGTTTTGAGAAATGAATACAAAAAAGGGTATGAAATAATAAATACTATAAATATAACAGATACTATATATCTTAGTGAACTATACTTTAATTTTGAGTCCTTTTTAAAATAAGGTATCCTAACTATATTTATATGCCTACCACTACAGCTTGTTGTATACAAACTATTGTTTGTAAAACACTTTTACATGCTAAATTCAATTTTAATAATTCCTGGTTAGAGTACTCAGTAAACCATGGAGATTTAGTACTAAATTTAAGTTAGCATAAGTATTTAGCAGACTTCTTAATTTGTCACATTTACCACCAAGAGGAGAATTGTCAATTATGCATATACCAAATTCTAGCATTACAGTAGAGCTTTGGGACAGTTAATCATGAACTTTCAGTAATCATGACTAATTAGTGAACATGTGGCAATACCAGAGCAGTAACATAAACAAGAAAGGTAACCACATCAGAGCACGAAAGGCTTCAGAGAAGCTTTGCAGGCAGTGATGCATGCCATCTCTAATGATTAAACCCCAAAAGGAAAAAAAAAAGTAAATAAATACATAGACAGACACACATTAATATTCAATTCTTTTCTCTGCTGAAGGTCTCAGGACGGAAGGACCTGTACACTGATTAGGATATTTTCTTTCTAATCACCGGCATTTTTCTCTTCAATAATGGAATGGTGACAAGTAATTAGGGTATATTATCTCCTAATAGAAAAACAGTGAATTCTAAATAATATGCCACCTATACACAACAGCTGTACTATAGTTAGAGTCCCATTTCATTTTTCCAATTATTAACAACATGAGATCAAATATTCAAATAGTGCAAGCTAACAAAATGGTCTGTATTAAAGGGGTCAGATGGTAAGAGATCACTATTTCTTTACCTCAGCTACTGTTACAGAATCGGGATACAGTGTGTGAACCAAATGATTTGCCAACATGAGATAAATCAAGGCATCTTCATCTACTTGTAGTCCAAAATATTCATTGTAATCACCTGAAAAACCTTGACCTAAAGAAGAGAAAAAAATATAGATACATTATATCAAACCTTAACTCTGAGACACACATACCCAAAATTGATAGGAATTATGTTATTGTCAGAAACTGTAATGATATTACTGTCAGCAAATGTACTAAGTCAGAAAAATATTCCATGTTGACACTCAGTTCAGACAATCCTCAAAAATCAATTTTTTTCTAAAACAAATAAAGATATAATTTAATTCTAATTGAATTTTACAGCAGAAAAATAAGGTGATATGATATTAAAAGGAACTGTAGGAACTTAAGACACTAAACTCTTCTAAAATCAATGAACCAATTAAGAAATGGGCAATTGTACTAAACAGAACTTTTTCAAAAGGAGAAATTCAAATGGCCAAAAAGCACATGAAAAAATGCTCACTATCTCTAGCCATAAAGGAAATGCAAATCAAAACCACACTAAGATTCCACCTCACCCCTGTTAGAATAGCCATCATAAAAAACACCACCAACAACATGTGTTGGCGAGGATGTGGGGAAAAAGGAACCCTAATCCACTGCTGGTAGGAATGTAAGCTGGTGTAACCACTCTGGAAAAAAATTTGGAGACTCCTTTAAAACCTAAACATAGACCTGCCATATGATCCAGCAATCCCACTCCTGGGGATATACTCACAGGAATGCAACACAGGTTACTCCAGAGGCACCTGTACACCCATGTTTATTGCAGCGCTATTCACAATAGCCAAGTTATGGAAACAGCCAAGATGCCCCACTACTGATGAATGGATCAAGAAAATGTGATATTTATACACAATGGAATTTTACTCAGCCATGAAGAAGAATGAAGTCTTATCATTTGCAGGTAAATGGATGGAACTGGAGAACATCATTCTAAGTGAGGTCAGCCAGGCTCAGAAGACCAAAAATCGTATGTTCTCCCTCATATGCAGACTTTAGATCTAGGGCAAATGCAGCAATGTGGTTGAACTTGGATCACAAGACAAGGAGAGAACACATACGGGAGATATAGGAATAGATAGAAAACCAAAACATGAAAGTGTCTGATGTCCCCACTCCAGAGGAACTAATATAGGAACCTTAAAATGACAGGTTATCATGAGCAGGGGATCAGGAAACAACGCAAAGATCAGTTAGAGTTGAATCAACATGGGTTGTAACACATGAGTACACGAAAACAATAATAAGAATTTCTCTGTATAGCTATCCTTAACTCAACTAGCAAAAATGCTTTGTCTTCCTTATTATGCATATGTCTTTTCTTCAATAAAATAAGTGATAAGGGCAGAATGGGACTTGCCTGGAACTGGGAAGGGGGCAAAGGGAGGAAGGGTGGGGGAGGGGTGCATGGTGGAGAAATGACCCAAACAATGTATGCACATGTGAATAAGTGAGCAAAAAAAACAAAGTAAGAAAAAAAAGGAACTGTAAAATTTAAATTCCTAATATATTTTCTATCATACCGAAAAATGTTAAGATTAAATTCTGAGAATATGATATTAGAGCCCTGAGATAAAGAAAAGCATATATGAAAAATATCATGACACTGAGACATTTATAGTTTTATATATGCTTCAAATTTTGTAATATAGATTTACTATACTCATAAGTAATAAATTATAATTAAACTCCCACACCCTAATTTGAGTTGCTTAAAGTAAATTTCACTTATTGGAATTACTTATTTTCTATTTCTTTAGTTATTTACTCTTCCTTTTGTAACTAAATAGAATCGGTGTTTAACAGCAGCCTTTTGCCTCCTTGATTCCCTATATCTAATTTCTTTTACTTTCATTCTTTTATTCCAAGTTTCCTGGATTTCATCATTGAAGAATATTTTCAAGTATAATTATGGAAATTTTCTTTCTCATCTTCTTACATGTGTACACCTCAATAATAATTGAAATATGAAATTTCCTTTTATATACATAATTCTTTGTTGTTTTTTAAATACGCAATTGACAAAAACCATATATATGCAAGTTTCATGATAAAGATGTGATATAGATGTTTACTGCCTACTAAATACCACAGACAAATTAATTACATCCATCACCACCCACAGTTACTGTGCATATGTGTGGGAGGGGCTATGAACCTTTAAATCCCAAATGAATAAAACAGTATTATTAGTACAGTCACCAAGCTATTATTAGATCTTTCATACATTTTCATCTCATACCTGAAAGCCTGTATCCTTTAACCTAAGATTTCCTCACTGCCTCTCCTTCTCAGCTTCTGGCAACCACCTTTCAGCTATTAAGTCATACCTTGTTTCCCTTAAGAATTTTGAAGACCTTGCTTCTGGAAACAGAATAATATGAATTCATCCATTTTTTTAAATCCATGAAGTAAATAAATTTTTCTTCCACATGAATGTCTCTGATTAGGATATTTTGCTTTTTAACCACTGAATATCTCTATATTACTGAAATTTCTGTGTTTGAATGTTAATATTTTAATAACAATTTTTGTAGGATAATATATGTCCTTTAACTATGCAGTTTTCCTTGGAATTTGTTCTCATTTTAAGGGAAAAATATGTTAAGTAACTCAAAAGGTTTTACTTTACCATCTTATGGACTCTCTATCCATATAAAGCATATCACATGTCCCTGAATATTGGTTCATTTCCCTAATGCCATCGGACTGTACATGACCCTCAGTAGAGGAGTTTTCAACTATGGGAGAGTCTTTCTAAACCTTTGCTATGCACAGAGGCAGGAACATGATTAAGTAGTAGCACTCTGAATATTTAACTTTCTTTGCTTCATAGCCACTTTTCAGTATTTATAGTCTAAAATTTTCTCACATTTTTTGTTCACTTGTTGCTAGTGATTATGTGGCCATTAAAAAAAAAGCGTCCATGTTAGCTATTGAGACAATTAAGACCAAGATTCCACTTTTTATAAGTTTTAAACTAAAGGTCTGGTCAATATTTTTAATTTACTAACTGATTGACAATTTGAAGCAATCAAATCTGTCTTTAAAATATGCACATTCTCTTCATGTATAATGTGCAAGAAGCCCACACATTCGTCAGTGTTCTCACTTATTCTTTTTCATAGTTCTTGTGTTCATATTCTCAGGGAGTTGTAATAAATGGTTTCTTAAAAAATTTAAGCTACATATTAAGGCTAGTATATTACTAAGAAGACATATTGCAAAGGAAATCATTATCTTTTCCTTACTTATAAAATATACCTTACCTCTTGGTCAAAAATGATCAGAAAAGACTATGGAGAAGGCATACAAAATGGAACAACTTTTAAAAGTGAAGTCACCATTAATGGCAATGAAGTCTTCATAACTGAGCCCCAAACCAAATTATCATCTTCCAATAAAAATAAAGAAGATTATTAGATACATCTGTAATATGTCAGGTTACCTACCCATTCCATGGTGATGATACAGCATGGAAGTAACACCATCAAAACGAAATCCATCGAAGCAATATTCTTCCAACCACCATCTTAGGTTTGACAGAAGGAATCTTAAAACCTCCCAGCTAAAATATTAGACAAAGATGTATTTTAGCCCAGGGCAAATACTGTTTTATTATTGTTATTCATTTTTTGCTAAGAGTATCAATTATAGTTTTAAATCTGTCTCAAAAATCATGAAATTCAAGAAACATATCACAGTAAAATCAGAAAACAACTAATAAATAATCTCACTTTTGTAATGAAACTCATACTAAAAAGAAAATTATTAAATTTCTTTTAATCACAAAATCCTTTAGTTTCTAAGTAAAACTAATAGAATAAAAGGTATAAAAAGGGACACTTGCTGTATCTCCAGCACCCAGAATGGTAATTACACATAATAGTGGCTGAAAAGAAAATATGAAACTTTTCTCAGAATTTCTTCAAGATTTTTTATGTAAAGTAATATTTTCTCCCTTTCAGAAAACACAGTTTTATTATCTATAAAAAAGTAGCTTAATGATAATCTGGAAAAAATTCATGTTATTATTTTCAAATATAAATATTTCAGGATAAAAATGTAAGAAGGAATAAAAGGAATACAAATAGGTAAAGAAACTGTCAAAATATCCCTATGAACTGAGAAAGAATATATGAAAACAATTCCATTTACAATAGCCTCAAAAAAAATCAAATACCTAGGTGTAAACTTAACAAAGGATGTGAATGACCTCTACAAGGAAAACTATAAACTTCTGAAGAAAGAGATTGAGGAAGACTATAGAAAGTGGAGAGATCTCCCATGCTCATGGATTGGTAGAATCAACATAGTAAAATGTCGATGCTCCCAAAAGCAATCTACATGTTCGATGCAATTTCCATCAAAATCCCAATGACATTCATCAAAGAGATTGAAAAATCTACCAGTAAATTTATATGGAAACACAAGTGGCCTCGAATTGCCAAGGCAATACTCAGTAAAAAGAACAATGCTGGAGATACCACAATACCTGACTTCAAACTATATTACAAAGCAATAGCAATAAAAACAGCATGGTACCTGCACAAAAACAGACATGAAGACCAGTGGAACAGAATAGAGGACCTGGATATGAAGTCACACAACTATAACCAGCCATGAAGAAGAATGAAATGTTATCATTTGCAAGTAAATGGATGGAACTGGAGAACACCATTGTCAGTGAGGTTAGCCTGGCCCAAAAGACCAAAAATTGTATGTTCTCCCTCCTATGGGGACATTAGATCAAGGGCAAACACAACAAGGGAACTGGATTTTGATCACATGACAAAGAGAGCACAGAAGGGAGGTATGAGGATAGGTAAGACACCCAAAAAACTAGATAGCATTTGTTGCCCTCAATGCAGGGAAACTAATGCAGATACTTTAAAGTGACAGAGGCCAATAGGAGAAGGGGACCAGAAACTAGAGAAAAGGTTAGTTCGAGAAGAATTAATTTAGAAGGTAACACACATGTACAGGAAAGCAATGTGAGTCAACTCCCTGTATAGCTATCCTTATCTCAACTAGCAAAATTCCTTGGTCCCTCCTATCGTTGCTTACACTCTCTCTTCAACAAAATCAGAGATAAGGGCAAAATAGTTTCTGTCTGGTAGCAAAGGGGTGGGGGGGAGAGAGAAGGAGTGGGAGGGTAAGGGAGGTGGCGGAGCAAGGGGGGAGAAATGACCAGAACATTGTATGCACATATGAATAAAAGAAAAAAATAAAGAAGAGAATATACTCAATTTATGTGAATAGACAGACTTTTGTAATAGATAAATATAAAACAAAGTCCTGTGGTAAACAAAAAAGAAATGACAATGGAACATGTAATTTAAAAGTTCTAACTAATGGGTAATTTAATTTTTTTTTCTACTTTTTTATTATTGTTGTAGTGGGGGTATGTTTTGACATCTACAAAAGTTCTTACAATATATCACAGTTGAATTCACACCCTCCATCATTCTCCATCATTCCCACCCACATTCCTAGAATAGTTCAACATGTCTCATTTTTCCATTTGTATTCATGAATAGATCTCCGAAATACTCTTAACCTGAAACAATGTCTTTAAAAAGCCTTAAAAAAAATCACCAAATGTTAAAATTATAGGAATAAATCAAATTTATGATGCTTGCAAAATATCTATCATTTTATTTTATAAATCAGTACAACAAAATAAATGTGCCCCATAAAAGGGACAAAACAATACACAACATTCTAGCAGAGGGCAGTTTACCTAGATCAAAATTAGTACATACCCCAAATTTAGAAAGATTTTTAATCAAAATCTTAGAAAAGACTTAGGAAAAATAAATCAGACCTAAAATTTTAATAACAGCAAAGGGAAGGCAAAAGGAAAAGTATTAAGTCCCTGGCTCAATACATTTACTAAAACTAGATTTTAGGAAAATTAAGCAAAAATAACAAGCTTTATAAGTGTAACACTTTAAAAGTAGCTAGCCTTTATTGTGTAAGAGAAAATAATAGAGCAAGAAATAGGGGAAATACAAACTCATAAATGTTCCAGTTTCTGTGCTATAAAGTTAGTGTTTGTTATCTCACCTATGGTAACTTAAGAGAAACTAACCCTTTATATATCCTGTTGCTTGTTGAAAGTAATTTAAAAACACATTGATTGCACTTAGGTCACTAAATCAGGTTATTAGCGATCATCCAAGTGAAAGGATCAGAAACACTGAGGTCTGAGTCTGTAAAATAGCCATACCACAGATATTAGTATTTGCATGCAACAATAAGAACTGAAAGGTGAAAAACAGGTTGTAGACCGTGTCATTGTAATGAAGATGTAGCTTTGTTTTTCCTTTCCTTGCAACATATAAACAATCAACTTGAGGTAGATAATGTATTTAAATATTGTATATTTATCTCAGATCACATAACTTATTATAAGAAAGCCAATCTAGGGGTATTCAAAACCACCTCAAGGTTCAGAGATTCAGTGTAGAGAACTTCACTAGAAGATCCAGCGTATTTTGTACCTGTGGCTAATATTTTTTGTTGTTTTGCAAAATAAGAATTTAAAGCAAAATGACCAAATGAAAAGTTTCATGGGACAAACACCAGAAGTAACTAGATGCAAACTTCTAAGAGCCCTGTCCTAGTCCTAACCTAACTCATACAGGACACACTTAGTTTCTATGACAATAACTTGTAATAACACTTGTAAATGGTTACCTACCAAAGAAGCTCACCAGATACTCAGTTTCCTGGGTTTTATTGGGGAATGGGGATCTGGCACCCCCTTCTTTGGTACACATCAAAAACTAGACTCTTAGATAGAAAGTAGGTGATCAGCATAATCACATTGTTCATTCAAAGAATATAAGAGTGGAGACCCTGTTGACAGTTCTACACATGGTGAGAACCCTCCTAAAATCTAGGTTTACATTCAGTTACCAAGGTCAATATTGTAGGCAGGCATTTTTCATGACAGCAGTATTAGTCCTGCTGCGACTTTTTTCTCCACAAAAGTAGAAACTATGCTTTATTATGTAATTGTAAAATACTTAGCGTTACAGGTTTCCAGAAGAAAAAAATATTTTAAAGTAATTTTATGTCAAAGATACTCAAACCTCAAAGCCAAGCAGAAGTAACTTAAATATGCATTACAAACCTAAATACAAAAGGACATCCAGCTGAAGTAGCCTATTCTGAACTTTACTGTCCAGCAGATACATGAACAATGGAAACATTAACATCATACATGAATGAACTAGTTTGTTGAATCCAAAATTTGCCTTTTAAATGGAGCAATGGTACAAGCTTAAGGAATATGTCAACAAGTAAAAATACAGATTTCAGAGAGATGTCCAGTACTATTTCTACTCTCACAGTTTTCAAATTTAGCACTCATAAATTCTACTTTCCAATCTTTGGAGAATTGAGAAGAAGAAGAGTTATAATGTATTGCAAACTACGACTTGAATTAGAAATATTGCTCAATGTGCTCTCTAGTAATAAATGAAGTGAATCATCTCAATTGAACGATTTGCCTTGAGTCAAAGTATGAAAATGTCTGGCAAAGGGTATGATAAAAAAGGCAATTCACTTTTCTACCTGAAAATGTCATCACACAGGCCATAACACAGTTGATATATCCAGTTGATTATGGAGTCCCATAAAAACATAAAGCAGAATTTAAGAGCAGTTTTACTTTGGTGTATTCCAACAGACAAGGAGGGACTTATATTTTAAGGTTACTCTATTGACATAGATTTTAAAAAATCCTTTCCTGCACATGTATGTAAATACAAAAATGATACCTGCTGAAAGTATTCCAGGAATGGGAGAGGGGAGAATAATGGAGAGCAATGAAAGGGGTAAATTCCAGTATGATATATTTGACACATTGTAAGAACTTTTGTAAATGCCACAATGTATCCCCACCCAACACAACAATGAAAAAAAAAAAAAAAAAAAAACCCTTTCCTTACATACCACTGGAAAGTCTAGTGTTGGAATAATTAGAAGAGGTAGGTGCTAACTTTTCTGTGTATACACACACACACACACACACACACACACACACACACATATGAATAAATGGTCAACATGAAAATGTTTGAGGATAGTCTTTTTGGTGATTAGCTTCATATTTAAAACTTATAACATGTAATTTAGGAACTAATACTAAGTATTAGTATTAGTAGTATAAATAGTATAAGTAAATGTAGTATAAGTTAATGGCTAACTGCCATTTAATTTTTATGAAACAAAAACAAAATCCTTAAAATCCAAGAAAAGATACTGAAATGTAGCTTTCTTGTGAATTGCAAGACACTAAAAATGTTTAAATCACAGGTGTCTAACAGAGAAACTGAGCACATTGATAATACACACTTAAGAGGATTTCTGGCAATCAGAAAAATCAGGACTCTAATTGGTTTAGGTGTCTAAAATATTCAACCTGTAATCAAGTAATGAGGTTTATTAATGAAAGTTTTGTCATACACATATAATTCCAATATTAAGGCTTATAGTAAATATCCAAAAAATAAAGAAAAATACTGCTGATTGTCTCACATTCTGCCAATAAACTTT